GGGGGGGGGGGGGGGGGGGGGATGACCAGTTCTAATTAATACCTGCCAGACATTGACCTATGTTCTTAACTTCAAAATCTATGGAAATTGCTAATATGTTAAACCTTAATTGGAGAAGAACAGTCTCATGTGGCAGCTCCTTAGGATGTGGGTGAAAGTGGCTTATATTTTAAAACCTTATTTATAATTTTGGGTGCCCAAAGTGGTACTATAACAAAACTCTTATTTTTAAAGGGTCAGTGGTCAAGACCTCTGGAAAGCACTCAGGCCCCTTTTAGGTCTTTCATTTTGAGCCACCCAAATCACTTGTCACTTCTAAACTCTTAGGCCCGAGTGTCTACTAAGTCGAACAGGTAGTTTGGTCTCCTAGTTGTATTTCTGGCTTTTCTGTTGGGTGCTATGAGTCAGTTTTGCTTGTCTCAATTTTACCAACACCACAAGGAGTATAATGACAGTGTACTTTTGTCTAAGGCTAGTAACAAATGTTTGTTTGCAAAGAGCTTTGACAGCTTCTAACGGCTTGCAGTAGAAGGTGGGCGTGTGTCAGATTATATATAAACTTGTATGTACACTTTCTCTAGAAAGCTGCATGGGACTTGCTTGCTTTAGAGAGCATGATCTTAGGGTCTAGGCTATGTTGTGCGATTCCCCCTAGTGATAGAATTGCACCATGCAGCTCTTGCCTATCGCTGATCATCCTTACTAGGTTAACGTGTTCTCACTAAGTCTGTCTTGATGTCTACAAGCAGATTGCCATCTGTCATCAAGCTAAATGGGAGCGTTGTTGCTGATGGGGAACGAGAAGATTCGGAGCGCTTCTTCATTCGGTATTATCTGGATTTCCCCCCGGAGGAAATTCCATTCAGGTACGAACGACCTGGAATTCAGCGAATGCAGTGCACAGGAGAGAACGGGTTTTGCAGGCTAAAAATGACTGGAAAGTGAGGCTGACTGTCTGATAAAACCAAAAAATTCCTTGCCCCCTCCCGCCTTTTTCTCTATTAGTGTATATTAATTGACTTCCCCAACCCCCCAGCCGTACAGTGATTGTGTCTGGTATATTAGTGAGTCACTGTTGTGTCAAATCTGGCTTCAGACTGCCCTGTCCAAGAGCCTCTAGGTAACGCGACTGTTCCCGTCATTGGTTTTTGAGGGCAACCCACACCTCCGTCTAACCAATCCCCCTGCCTCCTGGAGTTCCCTGAATCTACACTGATTCTTCTGTCAGGTGGCGGTGTTAAGTGGCTTGTTCTCTTGCATATCTGGTGAGTTGACTAGCACCAGTGAGAAAAAGATTTCCCTCTTTCTTTCAAAAACTCAAATCACAGGTTTGGTTGTTTGTTGTTGTTGTTTTGTTTTGTTTTTCCCCCTTTGCCAGACAAATATGCTCAGTGGTCAGGTGATCTGAGTACAGGAATGGAGTTTGAGAGCAACTATGTAGTAATGCCTATAACCTAAGATGTTTAGTATTTGTTAATGGAATGAGGAAGGCCATAGTATTTTACACTGATGTAGCTTGTATCCCAAAGCCCACTGCACTTTTCAGATAATGAAATCTTGTATGTTTTCCCATGAGTAGGTGGGTAGATGCGAGATCCAGGGAGTCCAGGTGAATGGCCTGCTTGGACCCACAGAGTCGGTTTCATTGCTGTGAACAGAATGCAGAAGTCCTGACAGCTGGCCCCTTGCACTAACAGGCAAAATGTCCTCTGGTTACAAAGAGCTGATTTACTAGTGCGATAACTACATCAGGTGGCTAGCACAGGTAAAATGGGAGCTGCTGGTAATACTGTATGGATATGCTAGGTCTGTGGTGTGTCCTAGAGGATTACTAGGGGTTAATTCAAGCTTGGGTGGATTTTGCACTTCACTGGTTGTAGAGAAGAACAGTACTAGTGTCTGTCCCTTTGAAGTTTACTCTGGAAAGGTCCTTGTAACCTCAGGGGGCCTTCAGGTGGGAAAACTGAAACAGCATCCTCTGGAACTAATGAAAATACAGTCCTTTCTCAGAAGAGGGAGAGAGGCAGGGACGGCAGGAGCTTCGGCTCTCTTTCCCCACGCTGAATGCAGTGTCTGAAATTGGCTAGATTCCGCATAAGCCTTTAGGTGGGACTGACAGAAGTGTTGGCATCTTATTGTTTCCAAGAACCTTCATCCATAAGACACTTTGTTCCTGCTCCTAGTAAATAATGCTTTGTTTTGAAAAAGCCAATATGTCATTGTATTCACCAACTGGTCACAACTTCTGAAGGACAGACTTGCAGGGCAACTAAATCTAGCCAGGCCTGCTGAGTAAACCCAGTTAAGAACCCTTAATTTAAGTTGTTCCTTGTTCCTAATCCTAAAATGAACTAATACTTTGTTTTTGGAGAAGCTGTTTTATGTCCCTGCATTCGCAAGCTGGTTACAGTCTCCGAAGGATGGCATTGTAGGGTAGCTGAAGCCAGTCTACCTGCTGAGTAAACCCAGTTGGAGTATCCTAGTTGACCACACGTAAGAGTTGGAGGAATTGTGTGATTCCAGCCTGAGAGAAATGAAAGAGTGTGCTCACAAAAAAAACCAAGCTGGGACTTGGGGGTGCAGCGCACCCTGTCACTGATAAGGGTTTGATTGCAAAAGGGTTTTTTGAGAAGGGCTAAGAGATAAGAACTCAATTTCTTGTATGCAGCCTTTAAATGCTTTCCTGCTTAGTATGAGGGAATTGGATCTCTGCTTAGATACCGCAGCAGTGGGTGTCCTATACATATTGCAATGATAAATTAACAAGAATGGGATGATTTGGTTTTAGTCTCACTTGCACATCAAGCTGTCATGAAGGCTGTGTTTGTGCGGTACTCTGGTTCAGCTGGGGATCCTTGGCACTTTAACAACCTGAAATATTACAAATACTCCTAACTTCATAAAGCTGGTTTTAAATTTAGAGTGAGCCTTCCTGAGCAACTTGCTATCTCTTCACATTATCTATGTAAGACTTGCAGGGAGATAAGGGAGACTTGTATCCCCGTCTGATTCTTAACCTTTAAACACAGTTGCATCCATCTTCCTGATCAATGGGCTCTTTGTTTGAACTCCTTCATCTGTACAGCAGCTCTCCAAGACCTGTGCAGCTATTCAAGGCTGTTTTTTCCATTCCAGAGAACTTGTGTGCCATTTCGGAATATTTTCAGACCGTGCTGCAGATGGCTGAGGAGGTATTGCCAATGCTGTGGTCAGGTTTCATTTCCTGGCCCCTTTTGCTACCCCTGGGGTCTCTTGCAAAGAGCTGTGTTCTTTTTGGAGTGGATTTTTTTTTTTACCTCTTTCTTCCTCCTACCTCAGAATCTGGTATGGTATCTCCTCTCAGACCTGTCTTTTGAAGTCTGTTCAGAGTAAGAATCAGATCATGGACAAGTGCACCTCATTGACTGGCAGGGACATGGACTGCATTGCTCACATGCCTTCCAAAAGCAGATGAGCAGGACCTTCCTGGACATGAAAGATTTGCAAACAGAAATGATGCTCTCTGGACCACTCTCTGCACCATGAGGCATGTCATGTTAATGAACAAAAAGAAGTGTGCTGTCTCTAAGGTCTAAATTAGTCTGGTTGCATGGTAGCTGTTTGCACACTACATGCTGAAGCACTTGGAAAAGGAGCAAAATGTGCAGTCTAATTTCCATCTTTCCAAGGCATCGGGGTAAATCTGAGTGCTGATTTGTACAATCCAATATATTGGCTGACTTCTTGAGTGATGCCCTCTTGTCCATGGGTTTTTAATCAGCTCTATGCTTGTCTGGCCCACTGTTTATACATAGAACATTAGAGATATTTTTAGACCTGTTCATTCCTTTAGAATCTGCTTTCCTGGCAATCAGGGTCTGTCAAGTTGTGAAAAGTGATTATGTAAATCTGTGAGGTGCCTATTACCTAGCTATCAAAGAACCAAATGAGTCGTGTATGTTAGTCTTTATTGATTTGAGGGAATGCAGTTGTTTCATTTCCTAGCTTGCACTGCAGAATCTGAATGCTGTACAAGGAAAGGAGTGCGAGGGGTTTCTGCCTCTCTTCCCAAGGAAGAGGAGTTGGGATCATTTCCCATGGCACACCGCATGCATGCATTTTGATAATGTTAGCAGGCTCATGCTTAGCATGCTTCCCTTGTTCTCCACCTCCTTCACTTGAAACCCTTGTTTCCTTCTCTTTCCTGGTCCCACTGCATGTCCCCACTCTTCACCTACAGCCCAGTAGGAATCTCTGTTTGCAGGGAGGGAGGATAACGTTAAGCCTGCCCCATTGTGATAGAAGCTCGATGCATCCCAGCCGCATGCAGCCTGTCAGCCCCTGCTGGGCCGTAAGAGAGCCACGGTGGAGGGCGGCAGCATGTCGGGAGCCGGTGCCACCTCAGAGTGCCGGTTCCAGCAGAAGCGTGTCCTTGCTCCTTGGTCCCCCTCCGCCCAGCCCCCCCCCAGGAATTGATGCTGGTGGCCTGTCCCACCGGAGGCACTGGACAGTGCACTGGGGAAATCCTCGTTTTTGGTGTCGGCTCAGTTAATGCTAATTTACCAGCAGGTGATAGCCCGGTTTGTCACATATGAGGAATGTGTTGTCTCTTCTCCAAGCTAATGGTTTTCTAAATAGGCCTGATTTTTATCTCCCTGTTTATTGTGAGACCAGGACAGCAGCCTGTATTTGGACACTCTGCCCCGATGAAAGCTCATTTTGTCTGGGACGCTAGGGAAATCCTAGTGTGCTGCGGCCGTTACCTCGTACTCGGAGCAGACAGAGGCCCCGCTGTTGTGGAGGAACATTCCTACATTTAACATGAGTCCCCGGGGTCCTCCGTATTGCCAGGCTCCATCATCCCCTGACAGGGGCAGTGACACAGCACTGATCACATTAAGCTTGGAGTCGGATGGAAAACAAAAAGAGCTTTCTGTGCGGTGCACAGTGGAGAGACTCTGAAATGTTACCTCCTCTCTGCTGCTCTCTGGCATTGTCATTTCAATTACCTTGTACTTTGTGTTGACTTTTTGCCACTTTCCCAGCCAGGCAGGAGAGATGCTACCTTCCCTTTCCTGATTTGAAGAGAGATCTTCTGGGAGGAAGGGGGGTGGTAAAGAGGAGAGACGTGCTTCTTCCAGGGAAACCTCTCTCTCTAGCTGGACGTTAAGGACTTGTCTACATAGGGAGATGGCCAGACAGGGCTGTAGATAGCAGTATAAATCTCCTGCTCTGTTGTTAAAGAAGAATAGAAGTGAATAGTTACCTTGGAATAAAGTCACTTGTATGCTGAAAATGGGGCCCATGTAGGAATTCATAGTGCTTCTCGTCCCGCGATCCTATGGTTCTGCTGATCAGTTTTCCCATGTAGATAAGTCTTAGCAACTGCATTACCGCCTGAGGACCTCTAAATCCCTCTGTGCTCTCCTCCAGTCGGGCTAGTTTGTGAAGGCTGTCCCTATTCTTGTGAGGCCTGAATTCAATTCATATGTCAAGCATGAAGGGGGCATCTCGGCAATTTCATTACTCCCCTTGTTGGTTTTGAAAATGTCTTATGCTTTAGGTCAAATCGGCCTCCTGGCAGATGCCCTGATAGTCAGGTTGGGTGGCCCAAAATTAAAAATCTTGACCAAAGTGCATTGAGTAGGATTAAATTTGGATGTTCCTTTAGCCAGGTATTTTGGTAGGTAATTTAATTATATTATTATAATATAATAGCAGTATTCTCCCTCCAAATCCAGGTAAATATTTTCTAGAAATCTTAACATAGCAGTACTGTTTTTCTTAGCTTCCCAGTTAGAAAGGAATATTTTTCTGAGCGTCTCTGGATGCCCCGTGCGCATCTTGAAATGTCAACGATTCCTTCTTAAACAAGATTCTCTACCTAGGGACAGGTTCAGTCTATTGTCTGTTTTCCTGTGTGGCTTTGGGCATGGAGCGAGTTAAGATTAAGTGAACTCTTTTTTTCCTTCCCCTTCTCCTCTCCCCTGAAAACTCGAAACATCATGGTCTAGATTTATCCTTTGTGAAAGTTTCCTTATGTTGAACGACTTCCTCTGGAGGTGAATGTTACCATGTATAAATGAAATATAATGTGGCCCCCTCGAAAGACTCCAAGACTTAACAAACCTTGGTTGCAAATGTAATGGTAGATGTAACTGGTGGTTGCTACATGGTGCAAGGATATAAGTGGGGGTATGTTATTATTACTAAATTCCAGCAAAACTCTTTTCTTTGTCTGTAGGAGGGTGATCCTTATTAACTAACTTGAGGTGAAAACTTAAGTGCTAAACTTGATTTTTACTTACTGGAGAGGGGCATATATATAGTTTAGTTGTTAATGAGAGAGAGAGAGAGGTGACTTACAGTTCAGCTATGTTGAGTTCTGTTTTTGGCTTGTGCTGAATCAGCGTGTGGCATGGAAAAATCACATAACCCCTCACAGCCTCCATTATTCCATCTGTAAAATGGTTACCACAGCTGCCTCACGTGGTTCAGCTTAAGCCTTGCCATCTATTTGCTGGACCCTTGAAGTCAGAGGGACATTGTCAGCATCAGCTAGGTTACAAGCAGCAAGCCAATGATGCGAGCAGTTATGATGTAACTTTGCATTTGTTTTATTTTTTTTAGGTATCATGAGCTGGTCACAAAATACGGGAAGCTAGAACCCTTGGCAGTAGTGGATCTCCGACCCCGGAGCAGTGCGAAGGTGGAAGTTCACTTCAAAGAACAGGTGGAGGAGGTGTCCATCCGCCTGGACCAAACAGTGGCTGAACTAAAGAAACAATTAAAAACTGTTGTGCAGTTGTCAACAAGCAACATGTTGCTCTACTACTTTGATCACGAAGCTCCTTTTGGTCCTGAGGAGATGAAATATAACTCACGGGCGCTACATTCGTACGGCATTCGGGATGGAGATAAAATTTACGTGGAGACCAAAACTAAATAGCCTGTTCTGGCTTTGTGCATGCGCACACACACATGCACGCACGCACACACACATACACACACGCACATACTAGGGACTTTTTGCAAGGTTGTTGACTGGGTAGACTGAGGCTTGATTTGGTTTTCTTTTTATACCAGGTAGCTTCTTAGCCCAGGTAGTGAGACCAGATCTGCAAGACCCATGCCACTGTTTAATACGGAGGAGAAAGCTGACATCAGTGTGTGTTCATTTTGGAATGTGTGATAACTTGATGTTCTCATTGCTGCTCCGGTATACTAGTGAATATGGCATGGATGGTCAGCTGTTTGAGCTAAGAAGGGTGTTAGGGTCCTTTAATCGGGGGAATTGGGGTTCGCTGCTGAATTTGGTGATCTTTTCCATTTGTTTAAAGATTTAGTAAGGCACTTGTCCACCCTGCTGTCTGCCTCTGGCTAGAAGGAGCTGAATTAATTGCTATTTATCTGGCTAGATGATGTTGCTTAACTTTGTTGGTTTATTTTTTTTCCTGTTGAATTTAGTGAAAGAATTTTAAGCAGTTGAAGCCTGATTCAGAGCTTAGGTTTTCAGGGCATCCCAAACTCCACTAAGTTTGCATAAATAAATGAGATGCAAGGGGGAGAGTCGCACCTAAAAATTTGATACACAAAGTTCACTGCTCAGATCAGCAGGCTTGACGCTGATCTCCTGTAAGCTGTTTAGTTTCACTGGTCCTCCGGCATCCTGTGTCGGCACGTGATGCCATGGATGCTACTGAAAGTCTGGAGTTTAGAGGGCTTTGAGCAAACATGTTGATAAGTGACCTGCAGAAAGCTGTGAAGGTTTTTGGCTGAGCTTTGCATCAGGCCGGAATCCAGATTAACAGCACAGCAGGAGGCTGAAGAGGATACTAAATTCAGGTATTTGAGTATGCCCCGAATACCTAAACCTTTGGAATATCCTTTTCCTGTTGGCCGCTGGAAGTCCACTGATAAGCACTTAGCATTTTGATTAGCATTGAGGGCAGAAAGGCTGAGCTGTCCTATAAATTTGAAGTCTTGCTCCTTGCTGTTGTTCCAGAACCTAGCAAAATCCTCCCTCACTTTAATGTGGGCTCCCTCTTTAGGATAGGTAATGAGGGAACGCTCTCACCTGGATCATCTTACAAAAGGCGAGTAGATGAAGAAGGGGACTCGCAACCACCGTAAAGCTGATTCCCAATATTCTGCATTGGCCCCCCCCCTCGTCCCCCGTAAGCATTGTGCACTGCTTTTAAATAGGCCCCTTTTCCCCTTCGGAGCCGGGTCCCATCCTTCCAGTCCTGTTATGAAATCCTCGTTCCCTTTGTGCATCTCTTGTAAATCAGACAGCTGTTTCCCTTTACAGGGCCCTTCCTTGTTCCTCTATCACACTGACAAGCTGAAGACATTGGAATTACTTAGTTTTAAGCAAGTGCATTTCTTTAATGTTTCTCAAGCAAGGTAGTCGGGGCTCTAGTTACGTATGAACTTTTGACCTTAGTTACTTAACATCCCCCACCTCCACGTGCACTTTCTTTCCCGTGATGCTTTTGTCCAAGTCACTGAACTCCTTTATATTCTTGGAGTTCTGTATTTCTCTTCATATTTTACCTGGATTGCAGGGGGATGAAATATAATCTCATGCCCTTCAGGTTCAGGATGTTGGAACTATTCAGACAAAAGTGGTTCCATAGCTAGAGTAAATGTAGAAATAGGTTAATTAATTGTGCCTGGTCTTCTCCTGCCAAAATATTTTATCTCCTGGCATCATAGAGATGAGCAATATAAAATAGACCAAGGTTTGCATGTGTAAAATGGGGTCGACATTACCTGACTTGATCTGTTAAGACTAAAGAACAGTCAGACAGTGACAGTGTAAGATAAGTTGAGATCACTCTTGGTGCAGAGTGTGTTTTATAAGCTGTAGTTTAACCGAGGATGTATTTTCAGTCCATTTGGGTAGTGAAAGTGCTTGCTGCCCTGCAGTGGAACTCCAAGCCAACACTTATGTATGATATATACATACGTAAACATAGGAGAAGTTGTGTTTAATAAGATATTTTATTATAAAACAAAGTTTTATGAAGATACAATTGTTTTAATATTAGAAGAAGCCTATTTCTCCTGTTGACCTATTGTGCAAGTATGGTACCCATTGGTCACGAGATTGTCCAGGTTATGTGACTGATGCAAATATGAAGGAATACCTGATCTAATTCTATAGAACAGTAATTGCCTTTGTGGGTATATTCATGGCATTGTAACTGGTATTAATGAGACGCTGTAATTACCGACCAACTCATTCAGCACAACAAAATAACTCAGTTTCAGAGAAGGAAATAAACAATCAATTAAAGTGTTCAATGGGATATTAAAGAAGACCCAAGTATGTGCGTGTAAGTTTGTTTCCCTATGAGAAGCTTTTCGATTATCTGGAAACGGAATTGGTCCGGTCACTGTTTTGGCTCCGAAACGTAAACTTTTTTTATGATGGACCTGGTAAGTATGGGGAAAACAGCAAAGGAAGAGAGGAGATTTTAAAGTAAAAGGTTAGCGCACTGCACAGAGAGCTGAAACTGAGCACTCGCATATAACAGGATCAATGGTCCATCCAGAACTGTAAAAGACACAGCACAAACTGCGGTCTCACTACTACACAGGGGCAAAGGCTGTTCGTGGCCAGTATTATAGAACCATTTGCATTCTGTGCAGCAGAATATGCGTTTTGTATTAAGAAAAATGATATTGGTTGATATCAGCTGCAAAAGCAAAGCCTCACCAAAAAGGGAATGGTTAATGTATCCAGACACTCAGTCTTTTGAAAACTCGGTAGAGACATGCAGACTTCAAGATGCTCAGCATTTTAGTGCCCATTGGCAAAATGTTCCCACTGAAAATGGGACTGTGAGCAAAACTATTTTTACAGAGTTTTGGAAGCAGCAAAGCTATAAAGGAACAAACTTGCAGAAGGTGTCATCTAATTCTAGCTGTCAGCCAAGACTTCATCATGCTGACACGTCCTGGGTTTGTAGACATTCCCGATTCATTAAAAGGTCTTCAGTTGTTTGTTTGTTTGTTTGTTTCCTTTGGTTGTTTTACTTGCTAGTTGCTGCCTTTCCCCATCCCTCTAATCAGCTATTACTTTTTTTGTCAGCAATTGTTTTGTTGTTGTTGCTACTTCATGCATATATGTCAGCCATGGGTACTTTACATAGCAGTGGCTCTTCTAATCACCTGGTTACAAGGAACTAGGTGAAAATTATATACCAAATCATTGCACAGCTATGTATAATGAAGTTAAATGTTGCACCGTTGTGCTTTTTGATTTGTCTGTCTGAATGTCCATGATTTGATGAGATGCTACAGCTGGATTGCTTGAAAAAGAGATGTTCTGAGTATTTGCAGTTGGTACAAAGGTTTGGGGGTTTTTTTTCTCTGCATGTGTATGTGTGTTTGATAATTGCTATTAACCTTAATGGGAGTTACATACATGCATACCTTGGATGGACACTTAGGCCTAGTCTACAGCAGCCTGAGGAACTACTGAGGCACTGTGCTTTAATGATTCCTTTCGCTTGTAGCATGAATAGTTTCCTTTTGCGCTGTAGGCTGGACCCTAAGGATTCTGAGCATGGATCGTAAGCGCAAAATTTTTTCCATCAGTTGCCATTTCTGCTTGTAACTGAGATGATTTGGTCTTGTTCATGTACAGATTTGAAAAATGCAAACTATTCACTGAGAGCATCCCAGAAGGCTGTATTATGTTTTCCTGGCACATGCACTACCCTCATTAGAGTGTTTTGGTTGTTTTGTAGGCACTCCACTGCAGTGCTGAAGAGCAAGTTGGTCATTTCACGGCTTCCTGTTTCCAAGCTTTGTCTCCTGCAGCTACTGGAAATTCTCTTTTTTTTTTTTTTTTCCTTTTTTTTAAATACAATTTAAACATGAAAGTCTATTCTTTGCAGTTTATA